GAGTTTAACAGTTCTGGATATTTCATAGAAATGGTATCGTACACTATGTGACCCTTTGTGTCCGGCTGCTTTTTACTTAGTGTATTTTCAATGTTTATCCATGTCATAACATGTACCAGCCATTTTTAGATGAAATGATATTCCAGTATATGGATATACCATAATTTGTTTATCCATTAATCTTTTGATACACATTAGAGTTTTTTTCCCTTACCTTTTGATAATTGTGATTCAGGAATGTTCAAGTATTTGTGAATGTTCAAGTATTTCAATCCTGTTTTCAGTTCTTTTAGGTATGAATCTAGAGGTTCCCTGGGCCATATGCTATTTCCCATAGCAGTCAAACCATTTTCATTCCAGCCAGCAATGCACGGGGTTCCAATTTCTCTATCGTTGCCAATACGTACTATTATTTTAAAAATTGTTATAATCATCTTTGTGGCTATTAAGTAGTAGTATTTCATTTACAATTTTGATTTGTATTTCCTTAATGGTATTGATCATCTTATCATGTGCTTATTGGCCATTTGTGTATTTTCTTTGGAGAAATGTGTGTTCAAGTTCTTTGACTGCTTTTAAATAGGATTACCCTTTTTTGTTCAGTTGTAATAGTTTGTAATACATTTTGGACCCCATCCCCTTATCTAATATGCAGTTTACAAATATTTTCTTCCATTTTTAAGGTTTTCTTTTTGCTTTCGTGATAAAGACCTATATAGGATACACAGAAATTTTTGATTTTGGTGAAGCCCAGATAATTTGTATATTTTTTCATTACTTATAGTTTTGGTGTTATATCTAAGAATTCATTGCCTAATCAAAATTTATTGAGATTTCCCCTTATGTTTTTAGCTAAGAGTTTTATGCTTTTAGCTGTAGTTTTTATTAACTCATTTAAAATTAATTTTTCTATGTTGTATGTATATCAAGTTCTTTACCATTTGTTGAGCAAACTATTTGTCTTCATTAAATATGCTTTGTCTCTGGTGTGGATAATCTGCAATAATACTTAAGATCCTAATAAGATTACTGACATTTAGAAATGGGAAGAAAGGAGCTAAAGGTGTAGGGAAGGTGGGATGGGTAGAGGAAGGGTAATAAGGGAAAAGAAAAAAATGTGAGATAATGAAAAGATGGAAATAAAGTGTTTGTAGATGGGGAGGGGAGGAGGGGGTGAAGGGAGGGCAGGGGTAAGGGGAAAAAATGAGAATCAAGACCTGTCATGTGAAGGTACAAGATCCCAACAATGAATGTAACTGTACTGTATCCCTAACATGTACCAATAAACTCAAAGCTGAAAAAAAAATACTTTGTCCTTTTATCAAAAATAGAATTTGACTACTCAAATTTTGCCAGTTTTTTCAATATTGTTTTGACCCCATGTGGTTTCATATCAATTAAAGAATCCGTTTTTCTATTTTTACAAAAAACAGTGTTGAATTTTGATAGAAATGCATTGAATGCAAGTTATTTGGGGGTGGCACTGCCTTCTTAAAAATACTAAAACTTCTAATCTATGAACATGGAAAGTCATTCCATTTACTCAGGTCTTAATTAATTTCTGTCCACAGTATTTTATAGTTTCTGGCGTTCCAAGACTTTTGTCTCTATTACATTTTTCTTATTTAGCAGTAAAATTGCCTTCTTGATTGCCTTTTTGCGTTATTCAATCCTGGTGAATAGAAAAATAACTACCTGTGATTTTTTATTTTAAAAACTAATTCTGGTGGCTGAGGGTGCAGCTTGGTAGTAGAGCATGACTAGCATGTGCAAGGCCCTGGGTTAATTCTGAATACCTTACTCAATAAAATTAACAGTTATAGTAACAGCTATTGTTTCTGGTGTTTGTTTTAAAAAATCACAGTAAGAAGCCCATCATCCCTCCAGCTCTACTTCAGAGTGACCCTTGTTAAGTTTGGCATATCTGTCCTTCCATATGTTTTCTGTGTGTATATTTATGCACAGAGTAAGTTTTCCTATTTAGTTGTAATATGCATTATGTATATATTTATTTTGCTTGTAGATTGTGTGTACCTTTTTTCATCAGTACATTATTTCTCTTAAATGCTACAGAGCAGCCTGCTGTACAGAGATACTGTGCTCTATTTAAGGATGTCATTTTCATGAGTTTAATGTTTTCAGTTTGTTTTTTTTTTACTAGAAACAGTGCAACAATTAACAGTGTTGTGTCTATATCAGTATACTTATAGGTACCTATGTGAATGTATCGTTTAGGGAATAAGAATTGCTGAGGCCAAAAAGTGCATGTTACCTTTTAAATATTTTTTCAAGGGGTTGGGGGTGTAGCTCACTGACAGAACACTGCCTAGCTATGTGAGGCCCTGGCCTCTATCCCTAGCACCACACATGCCTACACAAATCCACAATAGTTTTTAAATTTCTGTGTTAAAATATATATAACATAAAATTTACCATCCTAACTTTATTTTAGCATCAATTCAGAATGTTATGCATCCACTAGCATTACGGTGCGACCAGTCTCAGAACTCTTTGATTTTGTTGAACAAAAGTGCTAAATTAAACAACTCCTTGTCCCCTACTCACCCTGACAGGTGTTCTACTTTCCGTCTCTGATTTTGACTCTTTTAGGTACTCATCTCAGTAAAATCACACAGCATTTATCTTTTTGTGATCAGCTTGTTTTGCTTAGCAGGACGTTTGCAGAATTCATCCATTTTGTAGCATTTCAGAATTCCCATCCTTCTTCAGACTGAATGTCGTTTCATTGTAGTGCGTCTCATCTTCTGATGAAGAGTAAGAGATGACTATTTACTTGTGTTCGTAGATGCTACCCACCATTGTGTAGGAACATCATAGTGAGTGAGTTTGGAAAGGAAAGAGGGCAGAAGGGTAGAAGTCTTCCTAATCTCATATATAATGTAACATACATAAAAATCTAAATATAATGTACATGGTAAAGTCTTTTTGGGCGTGTGTCTATGTAAAATGGAGTATTTAAAAATGCATTGTTGGCCGGGGATTTAGCTCAGTGGTTTCACTGCCTGCCTTGCAAGCATAAGGGGCCAAGTTCAATCCTGCTACCAAAAAATAAAATAAAATAAAAATAAAAATGCATTGTTTGTCCAATTTAATATGGTTAGGCGAAGGCAGCTCTTAGCCCCTGTGTGCTTGTGGGGCTCTCCTGCTCTTTCCCTCCTTAGACCCCATCTCACTCCAGAGGTACCCTTCATTATGCCTCCACCCACTGCTGCAGCCACTCCTACAAACCTTTGCATTTTGTGCCGAAAGATATTTTGCTTGTTAACAGTTTCTGTGAACGCCCCATGTTCTCTGCTTTAGCACCATCCGAGAAAGACCAGGCTGGGAATTTGTTCACATGTTCTAAAGCTAAAGACTGAGTTTTGCCCTAACTGAAAAGTTCACCTACACATGGAGGGCAGATCATACTCATTTTTGAGGAGGGCCTCTGTGATGTTGTATGCTTGAATCTCACATCTCACACCTTCCTATCTCTTACCTACCTTAAACGCGTTAAGCGCAGAGAGGCTTTTATACAATTCCCCAAGAAGAGAAAACCAGATGGAAGTGAGGCGCACAAGTAATATAGTTGCTTTCCTTTTCCATCAGTTTTCAGAAACACTTTATTTTGAAATGATAACTGCATTCAGAAAAAAGTTGCAAAGCTAGTCCAGAGTTCAGACATACCCTTTACCAGCTTCCCCTACTGTTAGTGTCTTATGTAGCCAGAGTATAATGATCAAAATCAAGGGATTCACATTAGTACTGTACTTGTTAGCATTCTACCTGGTCTTCTAGTAATGTTTGTTTCCTGGCCCAGGGTCCATTCCGGGATCAGCATTGTGTTTAGGTGTTGTGAGTCCTGAGGTACGGACAGTCTGCAACAGTTCCTCAGTTCTGTGTCTCTCATGGTCTATACTTTTGGACAGTACTGGTCAGTTGTGTTAGGGTTGCCGTTGCCGGTGTTTTATAATGTTTGCTTTGAAGTTTTTACATTGCAAGGAGGAGTACCACAAAACTGATAAATTATCTTTGCTGCGACCTTGTAATGAGTTATTTGATGTCAGTTTTTTATGAATGGTGGTGGTAACCTCATCCCTTGATTCAGGTAGTATCTCCTGGATTTCTGGAGTGACTCTTGTTCGTTTGTAATTAATACGTATCTTGGAGGAGATACTTTGGCACTGTGCAAGTGTCCTATTTCTCTTCAAGCTTTTGCCTGCAGAGTTTAGCGTTCATTGGTAGATTATTCCCTACAATAATGACTACAGTAATTATAGATAATTACAGATTTCTCTGAGTTGATTTCATTGTATATTTATTAATTGGAACTCTATAGGAAGAGCTATCTCTTATCTGTCCATCAACTAATTTAATCATTTCTATTAATATGAAAGTGTTGGAATTTCTTTTATTCTATAAGTTATTTATTTTGGTGCTTAGATTGTTCCAGCTTTGACAACTGTGCGCTCCTTCAGGCTGACCCTCGTGTCCTTTTGATGTGTTCTACCCCTTTGCAAGTACTTTCTTGCTTTGTGGCATCTGCTCATACTCCAGGCTTATCTTGAATTTTCCTTGCCCTACCCTTAGAATCAATCACTTTTCCACAAAGGTCTGCATCCTTCTACTGGACAGTGGTGTTTATAAAACCGTATCTGGGTGCTATGCCTGCACTTTGTAACTGGGTGTCATTACTTTAATCTTTTGTCAGTTTTAAAGTAAGCTCTTTTCCTGTAACTCTGGGTATAGCAGATGTGAAAATAGAACTTGACATTTCCAGACAGAGTAGATATAAAGTCAGTTTGATCAGCTCACTTAATGGTGACTTGTTAAAATTGGCACACATGAGGAGACTTATAGACAGGAAGTGTGTCAATATTGTTCAAATCCTGGTTGAAAAATAAAGTCTGTGTCAAATTGTTTGCAGTTCAGAAACGTGGCTGGCTGACTCTGACCACAAATGTGTAAATTGTCTTTGTTCTTTGCAGCAAGAAGCGATCTCTGGGCAAGTGTTCCACCGCTGAGCTGCATACCCAGCCCAAGAAGAAGAGATCTTGTGGAGCTTGAAGTAGCTCCAAAAACTGATCATTCAAACCGAAGAATTTACTAAGAGCAGTTTGCATGTCTTGCATCTAATTTAGAGGTTAGTATTGTGAGACTTGTTCTTAGTGCTTGTATATGGTAGTTATGTAGATACATTACATCACTATTTTATATTTTCTTACTCTGAACAGTTCCTACATTGGCCATCTTCTTTATCTTTTCATAGTTCTAGAAGAGGAAGATATATAGATCCTATTATTAATTAAAGGAATACAAGCATTAAAGTTGTTCTTTTAAAAAATCCAAAATTGTTTTAAAATTACTATAGTTTTGTTGTTGATGTTCTTCTTCTTCCCCCCCCCCATTAGGTCACAGTCACAGAAGAGGGTAAACTACCAATCATCTTGATTTCAGCAGTTTTTTGATCTCATAGACTCTTTATTTTTTGGTACCAGGGATTGAACTCAGGACCTCATGTTTGCCAGACAGTCTCTATGCCACTGAGCTAATAAATCCCCAGCCCTTATAGAGTGTTTAATTGGAGTAACTGTTCACAAATCCATTACTAACGTGAAAGTTACAGCTAATATTCAGAGCACCAAACAAGTAATTGTTCACTTCTTTACTCCTTCTCCTTTCTGGAGTCATGGTAAATAATGATGATTCCAGTGATAGCCATTTATTGAATGGAAACTGTGTTCCATACCTTGTGTTGGACGGTTTCTAAAACCTTCTCCTTCCATCTTAATGGAAACTTTCTAATATTGGATATAAGGTAAAGTAATTAAGATGGTAAAAATGTTGTTTTGCTTTGCTTTTCCTTCCTTGTGGTACCTGGAATTGAATCTAGAGGTTCACACATGCTAGGCAAGAGCTGTAACACTGACCTGAGCTATATTGTGTAATTTTCTCACTCTCGCTCGCTCTCTCTCTCTCTCTCTTTCTCTCCCTCCCTCCCTCTCTCCCCCCCTTGCTTTCTTTCACTCGCTCTCTTATTCTTTTTTTATTTTAAAGTACTAGGTACTGAACCAAGGGCCTTGCAGAAGCACCACCACACACACCCAGCCCAAACTATACTCTTTTTTGAAACTGGGTGTCTTCTCTCTAGAGTTTTGTTTTTTCCCTGTAAGTGGAAACTTGAGGCTATGGCCTGGTGCAGCGTTAATGGCAGGGAGAATAAGGCAGCAGTCATGACAACGTGCAGAGTATAAGCAGGTGTCAGTTCTAATTACTTCAGACTGCAGCGTGAGGGCCCCAGGCTCCCCCTGTTCCCAGTTAGCACTGTACAGAGTTTGAATTCAGGAAGCCCAGCCAAGTGATGTAGTTGGGAACTTACTGGATGAATAAAATGCTCTAACTCGAGCATGCCGTCCCCTCCATTTGTCCTTCCCAGGTCTCGAACATAAGAGCCTTTAACTGTGTAGGGCTCATGGTGAGATCTTTTAAAAGGAGGAGGTTTGGAGAAGAGGAAAAGGGTGGATTTTCATTTGGTGTATAATCAAGAACCTGTGTTACCTGGTCTACAAAAGTGAGGTCATAGGTGTTGGATTTAAGGTACAAGAGGATTTTGGTCTGATAAATGATTTAGGACTTCATGGAGTTAGGTAGTTTATGCAGTCTGGAAGTTCTCTACTTAGCCAGAAATATAGTAGAGATCGTGAACACAGGAATCACAATTTACTTAAACACAAAAAGAAACTGTTTGGCTAACGGGTTTGAATATCAAAACATCACATGGCTTTCATGTAAGTGATGCTTAGAATATGAGCTGGAAGACGAATTGTCATTGTTTTGTATTTGCTGCATATATCTGTGAGGTAGCAAGAAAACCACCCACTTACAGTTTCTGTTTCAGAGAATGTTCTTGTCCTGGAAGAAACAGACATATTGGTAAAGAGCAGTTAGTTCTGATCTGTGTTTTTTGTTGGTGTAGGAAAGTATCTTCTTACCACCTGGATCTTAAATCACACCTAGAACGTCACTAGAAGATAAAACAGCAAGGAAAAGGTTGCTATCATCGGATATGTGCTGCTTAGAGACTTGAAAATTTGAGGAAGTTAGCTTAAGTAGAAAACGGCAGACTGCTTTGCTGAAGTAGAGTATCATGAAATGGGAGATACCTCTCATCACTGCAGTGTTTTGGCTTTAGAAGATTTTAGTTTAGTGACTGTGGTACAGGGAGACATTGAAGTATTCATGGAAGGAGAGTGAGTTCTGCTGTTCCTCCTGGGTGCATGTGCTGCAGGGAGAAGCCCCAGGTAATTTCTGGTGCTTGGCTGCAAAAGCCTTTGTCTCGCTGCACCCCGCTTTTGGGTCTCATCCTCAGCTTTTTGATTTGTCTTCGCACTGGCCTGGCCTAGTACCTTTACTCATGGAGCGCCCTGCCCTCAGCGCTGAGGTCGGGTTGCCTTGTCCATCATGGCTTTGTGGTTTCGGGTGGGCACCTTTCAAAGCAGGTATGGATGTTGGGTAAAGCTTCTCAAAGTTGTTTGTTTGTTTTGTTTTGTTTTGGTACTGGGGATCGAACTCGGGACCTTGTGCTTGCAAGGCAGGCGGTGGAACCACTGAGCTAAATCCCCGGCCCCTAGAGAATGTGGGTTTAAAACAGCTATGTTACGTTAAGGTGGGCAGGAAGGTTTCCATCCTTTAGGAATGGTCATCAGAGATGTTTCTGATTGCTGGGGTAGTGAGTCCTCTGATCATATAATAAATGCAAGACAATTGAAGATGTGTGTCATGTGATGCTATAAATGTAAGCTAAAAGCACTTAAACTAATTAATGTAAATTTTTTCATACAGCTCCAGCTTGCCTTGTTAATGTACATCCAGAGATCTACAAAAAAAAGAAAAAAAAGGCTGTTACTCATATTGTTTTTATATTTTTCTACAGAACATTATTTTACCTACATTTATTTTAATGGGCAGAAATCATTTAAGGGTCACTTTTATTAGGGACATACCTGTCTAGGCTGTCAGATGTCTTCTCGTCAGAATAGGTGGTGGACCGACAAGTTCTGCTACGTGCTGAATTCTGGTCTGTGTCTCATCGTTCAGCCACTTGTATTAATACAGTAGTACCTCAGTTCACAAACTTAAATTGTTCTGTGATTTTGGAAGAGATGACCACATGCTTGTTCGTGTTCATGTTTGTGTTCGTGAGGGAAAGATGGCTTGGGGTCAAATTTGTCATCTGATGCAGAGTTTGCAAATAGAACAAAATTTTGCCACACATGCTTCTGTCTGTGAACCAAATGATTTGCAAATGAAGGTGTTGTGATCCGAGGCACCACTGGATTAGCAAATTAGAGTTTATAATATTTAAAAAATAGTAAAATTGAGAGGTACCATATAAGTGCTCTCGCAGGTCAATTGCAGCTAAAAAAGGACTATAATTAATAAGCTCTTAAAATATATTAATCTACTCAGCAAATACATATTGAGGACCTGCTCTAAGGCAGGCACTGTTTTTCTGTAGAAAAGCCAGAGAAAAACAGCAAAGTGTATGCATTCAGGGAGTTGATGTTCCCAGAGGCTTGGATTTGGTAAGGCTGGCTATTCATTTGGCTTAAAAACTAAGAAGGAACTGGTGAGGTATAGCTGTCCACTCAGATTTTTATTTTTAAGAATTTATGCCCAAGGGAAACTTGGGATTGGCCCTTGAATTCTAATTTTACGACTTTTCTTTAAAACCTGGTCTTAGACCAATAATTACACAGTGACACTTTTTTTGTTCTTCTTAGTTCCTTTGTGTGCTTTTGGTCATCCAAATGGCACTGACGTTAGCCTTGGCACATCATAATCCACGTGGAAGCAGATGGCCACACCTGCTAAACACAGGTCTGATTGGCACCTGAGCTGTGGGCTTGTTGGTTCTTGTGCAGATCCTTCCTTCTACCGAGTCCCGGGTCGGCTGCTCATTCCTGCGCACATACCTCAGCACAGTCCAGGAGGCCGCCCTGTTCTTTGCACCCAGCCCCGAGGTGCAGTTCCAGAACAATATGCATCCAGAGCTGTGCGAGCCGTCGTGACTACTCTCTTCCTCTCTTGACTCACTGTGCAGGGAGGGAATGTACCATGGAGTGGCAAGAAAACACTGCAGTGGAATTGGTGTTAAAATTAGCTTGATCTCTTGGAAGCACCTTAACAACCCCTTCTCTCTTTGCTGGTACCTGACCTGGTTGTCTCTGTTATTTGTTTTTTGTTTGATTATCTGTGTGTGTGTTTATCTAATATCATGGAATTTTTGGAAGAAGGTGTAAAGCTTTGAGAATTACAACAGTAATGATTTCATTTGAGATGTACCGCGCTTACATGAAATTAGAGTAGTTCTTTATCAGCATTTGTGTATTCCATTAAAGATCTCAAAGAAGTAATTTTTAATAAATAGAAAGATGTCCTTGCGTTACAGTGTGTGAAGTGAAGATGGTAATTTGAGTGCATGTGAGTGTGGGCTCTGTCACAGTAGTTGAAGTTGACAGGAGTAGGCTATATCTGTAGCTCTCCTTCAGGACTGGTGGGGTCACCATCCAAGCTGATGTAGTCAGGCTTCCGCGAAGCCAACAGGATAAACAGCATTCAATGCTTGTTCACAAAGATTGTCAGTTATTAGGGTGTGGATGCCGAACCGCACCTGAGAAGCCAACTTGTAAAGTTACTTTTGAGCCTCCACCCCAGCCGATGGTCCAGATTGTATCCAAGGGAGGTGAACTAAGTCAGTGTTAAAACTTTGAGTGGGATCGGGCCGTGGCAGTATGCATAATGGATGCATTCATACGCATTGCTTCAGCACAGCATTTTCTTGGATGGAAGCATGGGAAATAGCACGTGGGCATGTCCTCACGCCTCTGCTAGCTTTCAGGGTCACTGCTGGCCTCCTACTTAACTCTCTTCCTTAGCCAGTCGTCCATTGGCACTCATGTTTTTTAAGAGCATTGAAAATCCTTATGTTCTGAGAACACAAAGGGAAGAAAACTTGACCTAAAATTCCTCCAAAAGCTGGTGATGATAGAAACTGAAATCACTTGGACTAGTAAAATTTACTTTGCTAATTCTTGTAATCCTGACCCTCTGGGAGGCTAAAGCAGAAAGATTGCAAGTTCA